TTTCGTGTACCTATGATCCACCGACTTTTTTATGACATCACATCCGGTTGCAGAGTTCACATCCGGTTGCTGTTTTCGCGCGAAGCACAAAGATGGACGCCCGATGTCATTTGGTTTTCTCGTTATTTTAACCCACAGGCTAACGGAATTATGTATCTTGAATGCCGAGAATCTTGAGAAGGTATCTAGCCGGCCTTTCAAGCAAATTTCATGACCAAACAAAGAAGTTTTAGTATTATTTTAACGATAAATATCATGGAGCTGCGGGGAATGTCATGGCGAGTCTTGAGATGTTTTAAAACGAGTGTCGTTAACGTTTTGCGGCTTTTGCGGCCTCTGATTTAGAGAAGGCATCAAACAAAATACAATTTCCTGAGCGGAAAAGAATGGAAAAAACGCTGATGGCCACAGTTTAAAGTGTTCACCTCTGGAAGGCTGTATCACGCCCCGTAAAGTTGCAAAAACTTCTACTCAAATGCATGGTTTTGAGGGCTGTCATGGCGAGTCTTTTGCTCTTTGTAATCGAGCGTCACTCAAGAGTTTGGCTTTTGCGGCTTCTGGTTCATCGAAGTCATCAATCAAAATTGCCTATCCTGAGCGGAATGGATTGGGCAAAACGCCGGTGGTCATAGTTTAAAGTTTCAACTGCTTGAAGGCGTTATCACTGGACGTAAAGTTGCTGAAAGTTCTACCCAACTGTCCTGTCATGGCGAGTCTTTCGCTGTTTCAAAACGAGTGTCCGCTCAAAGGGTTGGCTGTGGTAGCTTCTGATTTACCGAGATTGTCAAACAAAATAGCCTATCCTGAGTGGAATAGAATGGAGAAAAAGCTGGTGGTCACAGTTTAAAGTGTTGATTGCTGGAAGGCTTTATCACTCGTCGTAAAGTTGCTCAACGCTCTTCTCGACTGTACGGTTTGAGCAATGTAATGGTGAGTCTTTCTCTGTGTCCAATCGAGCGTCACTCAAGATTTTAGCTTTTGCATCTTCTGATTCACCGAAGTCATCAATCAAAATACCCTATCCTGAGCGAAGTACCGTGGAGAAAAAGCCTATGGTCACAGTTACAGTGTTAACAGTTGGAAGGCTTTGCCAGGTGACGTAAAGTTGCTGAAAGCTCTACTCAACTGATTTCGAAACGGTCACATGTTGCGAGCTTCTGGAAGGTTAGTGTTGGATTTTTAGCATTTAAAGATTTTTTAGCCTTTGAAGATTTATGTTTAGAACAAGAGTTAAGCCCAAAAGTAGTCCAATTTGTCATTATCTGAGAGAAATCAAGAAAGTTTGTGCCCTTCCTTTTTTTCTAAGCTTGCAAGTGTAACATACATGAAAAGAAACCCTTATGCACTACTAGTCATATTGTTAAAATGACTAGTTTGAAATTACTCCTTATCTTAACTAATAACTACAACACTTATTTAAAAATGAATCGCTCCCGAACATGTGTTGATTGCTTCTTGACCTTTAAAGCTAAAAAAACAAACATACTACGACTTACAGTGATTATAGTTATGTAACTAATTAGTAAAGTGAAAAAGAGTGAAATTTATAAAGTGAAAAAACAAACTGCTGGTTTAACTGTTTTAGAGGTTTGAAGATCTGGAGGGATCGCTAGAGGTGTAATATGAGACTCAATAAGAGGTCTAGTTACTTTAGAACATGTTAGAAGAAATGTATACGTTTTTCCTGCAGCAAAACACATATTTTGGCTTGGTAATTATTACTTGTATTTCTTGATGTAAATTGCATTTTATGAATTATTAATAAGTTTCAGTTAGGGTCATTCATAATGCTGTACTGCACCTTATTTTAGTTGACGATTATCTAAGGTATAAAAAATGAATTTTGTATATTTTTAAAGACTTGAATATAAGCTTACTTCTGAATTTATAAACAATATATATTTAAAACCTACACTGTAAGTCTGGTTGTCAGTGTAGCCTGTGTTGCAGACATAATCTATTGCCAGTTAGTAACATCTGCAAAGCCGTGCCAATATTCTGGGCTCCCAATCCCAATGTGTTTCGATATTCCCTTCAATAATGGTATTTTTAACAGGCCAATCATAGCACATATGCAAGTGCTCGTTTACAGGTGGGCCAGGGGGTGCCCACAACCAGGATTTCAGTGCTGTCTCACAGGGGGACTTAACCAGAAGTTTAGTTCTGTTTGTGGCAGAGGCTAGTCCTCTGGGCATTAATGTTTAAATTATGTATTTTATTTTGCTTAGCTGGGAAGACAAAAATAGATGACAGAAGAGCACAAACAAGAGAATATCAAGAAGTATTAAAAAGTATATCTACCACACAACTCGTAAAGAGAGATAAAAGTCAATGAGGACAAAAATGTTGTTAATAAATGTTGAGTACAACTCACTGTCAAATATTAAAGTTGAAAGGAAGGAAGAATGCTGACATTTCAAGGAGTACACTTTTCTGGTTTACAGAAAATCTGCAGCAACAGAAGACACTGAAATCATGTTGAGCTGGTTCAGGATGTCAATTCTGTTTCGATGGAATCCTCTGACAGTGTCTAGGCCAGTGCACAGTAACGTGCTTCGAAGCCGGTCCTTGGTAAGACATTTCCTGACTTTACATGCCAACTCTCTTTCAAGGACCTCAAGGATAAGTGTCTGTTTCCCTGACTTTCACTTTCTCGTCAGGGATCAGCAATATTTAACTAGACAACTGTGGTAACTGTAGTTTTTTTGGTAAGACTTAAAAAACTTCACAGAAAAGACTGAAACTAATGATCTTGCACTAGGAAGCTTTGAAGAAATCAAGGGGGGAGGGGGTGTGCAGCACTGTCTGCTGCACATATTTCCCTTGGAGATAAGAAGGCAAACACCCTAGATGCAACTATAGGAAACCAAACTAAGCTTGAATTTCATAGAGAGTATTCACTCACGTGGCTTGCATCTATGCAAATTTATTGGAACAAAAGAAATCATTTGCATAAGAAAAGAGTTCAACTCCCACAGGATTAGTTTGGGACACCAACATGGCTGCTGTGACGTCATGTGCATACTCTCTATACTTCAATCAGTTTCGCATGTTTATTTTCCATCCCTAAGCATTCTGTTCCTCCTGTGGAAAAGAGTTGGTGGTTGTTTTATGACAACTTCATCCCTTAGTGTTCTTCATCCTTCAATTAATCAGTTAGAGTAAAGGATTGTTAATATGATCCTGATTAGGAGAAGAAAGCTTTCTATTAAAGGCACCATGGTCTAGAAGACTAAATGTAAATTCCCTATCTGACCTCATTGACAAGGAGAAACAAAAAAGGGATGGGCTGACACCCAGCATAGTGATGTGCAGTATTAAGCTCAACAAGGGTACAGGAAAAATCCACAACTAAGAAACTGGTTTTTAAGAACGTGTCAGGCTAATTTTCCAGCTAGGCTGTGTTTATAAAAAAGCACTCAAATTTGAAACAGGTTATTAATCATAACCATTACAATTTCCTCAAATTTGATTGGTGCATTAACTGCTTTATTTTTCTTTAATCATTGTGTATGGTTGTAATCAGACAGTTGGCTGTAGTCGGACAGTTGCCTGTAATCAGATAATTACATTAGCCAATCATTTTAAGTGCACTCAGCTAAATCCACCAATCACAGAAGTTATTACAATAACCATAGCAACAATCACTTACCCAAACAAACTGGGGATTAATCCAAAATGGATGAATATGCAACATATAGGCAGTGTCTCCACCAGTAATATTTTCCCTTATTTTGGACATTTAGTATGAACAAATGCTATTTCTCCAAAAAAGGAATGCATATATTTTTTGGAAATCGTAATGGTTACAGGACTTTATTTTGTCCAATTCAATCTGTAATCATACTCATGATTAAACAAATCTGACTCCTGCTTAGTGGTTGTCCAATTTTGTAACACGTGTATGATTACAGACCGAATTGGACTCCACTCAGTCCTATTACCATTATTTATAAAATCTCTAAAAAAACTTCTGCACAGTGTACACTTGGGAAAGTAAGATAAGTCAACATACAGGGTCCTCTTTTGAGACATAGGTGTCTAATAATATTTATCATTTAATACTCAGACTGCAATGCAATGGTATACAGGTTTTACATATACTAAGGAAAGAGCTGAATGCCATTAAATACTTTTAGCTCAAAGCTACAAAGTATTTTTTTTTCAGAAAATAAGGACCTATTTGAGACTGAACCTAAATAGCCTAAATCTGTGCTAATTGGTTTTTATGTAAGAACCTGACTTGTTTAGGCTAACTTGGGAAAATACAGGTTCTTAGTTGCAGGTTTTTACTAGTAATTAAATTTGATGGAAAAAGGATTATCAAAAATTAACATAGCGAGATGAGCTTATTTACAACTCCATCTTTCAGACCTGCAATTTATTTAAGGCTGTCTTATAAAGGAACAACAAGAACAGCATGTGCTTTTTGTCAGCTTTAATGAATTCCAGACTATTTAAATGATCTGTCTAGAAAATCCTCTTAACAGATGGAATAGTAAAATGTGAATTAATAAATCCTTTCATCAAACTGTCTTCTGCTTTCCTCTTGCCAAACCATCTTTCCCTACAGAGGAGCAAAGGTTGTAGCAAATATCAGAAAAATAAAACAAAGACAAGAGGCTACACCTGAAACCCCTCTTTACTGTTACTTTAACACCCAGGGAGAAGGTTGTAGTACTTCTATACAGGTATGTGCCATGGAATTAGGACGTGGGTTTTGAGATGATCAGTCTCTATGGTACACTAATTGGCTTGGCTTTCTGATCCTTTGGTAGGGTTCCTTTGTAAAATTATACTAGCTCATCTTCAGTACATAAACTTCAGGGATTTCAAAATGTTTTAAAGTATCTGGAGGCTGGGGGGGCGGGGGGGGGGGACTACGGAATTGCTGGCAACATACAATCAAGTAGCCGATGGAACTCCAGTGGTCACCAGCTTGTTTTGAAACCACTGAAACCTCTGTTTAAAACTGAAGATACATTGATGGGATCAAGATATGAACTTGAGCCTAGAGCTACTGAACAATAAAAAAATACTCTTTTTATGCAAATCAAGCTGTTTGAAGATTGAAATAAGAGTGTAAACACTTTTTGACACAAAAACGATGTTTATAATTATCTACATTTACCCAATATTTCCTAGACCTTCAGTTGTTGGGGGATTGTGTGTTAAAACAACTCGGAACTAAGAAGAGATGGTATTTACAACATACCTAGACTGTATTTTTCAGTAGATACTGGAAAAGAATCAAGAATGCATTGTGAATCTAAGCATTAAGATTTTGAGCCAAATACAGGATCAACAGACGTTAGTCAATAAAAAGGAATGTGGATATTTTTTGGCAAAAAGGAAATCAATACAGCTTGAATGTCTCAGGGCTGGTTTGCATGTTTCTAAAATTCATACATGTAATTTATTGATAATATTTTGATGTTTTTTTTAGAACAATAATAATATCATTGATCAATCAAATAAAGTAGGTGAATAAAAGTTCAGTATTTCCTTTTAACACTAGAAGAAAAAACTGTTGTATACATACTAATAATTTATACACAGCTGTATATCGTTATTATTGTGGTTCAATTTTATCCCTGGATAATTTTACTTTCCTTTGTGTCATACTCATTATCATACATTTTCATACCCCAAAAAAACAGGAAAAATTTAAATTGAAGTATAAAGAAAAAAAATAAATATACCGTCCAGGTATGGCCAAAAAAAAAAAAAAATGATCACTGGTTCACTCAAAGCTGCACTGGGTGACTGTTTCTCCTAAAAAGGTTTGAACTCTCCGTTGGATACTCCCTTTTGCCTCACCAGCTACAGGTACATACCCCTCCCCCCTCTCCCCTCAGGCATGACATTCAACATAGATATTGTACTAAAAGAAGACCACTGTCAACCTTATGAAAAAGTTACCGAGTAAAAACATTGTTACTAGGAAACAGAAAAACCATTCTACTGAAGTGAATTATTGCAGTATCCTTCAAATTTTGGTTCCATTGCTTACATGTATTGTTTCTAGTAACAAAAAGTGCAAGTCTTAAGATGAAAGTTTCATGTTACAGAACAAAAAATATCCTTTCTTCTTCCACAGGGTTCGCACAGTCTTGAAAAGTCCTTGAATTCCATTTTTCCTTGAAAAGTCCTTAAATTTCTGTGCAAGTCCTTGAAAAGAGCGTGAATTTTCTTCAACTTTGAATGTAGTAGCCTGGAAAAAATTTTTTGATGCTTTTTGGTTGTCCAAGACAGAATATAAATCATAGCTCAGTGAATGTAAAGGTCATTTACATAAAGTGCTCCATGTTTTATGCAAAAATTAACTACCAGTTTAAGACAAGTGAACTGAAAAATGTAGAGAATTTGGTGAAGCAAACAGTTAAAGCCTTAAAGTCTTATTAGAATATACTGGGAATATGCATTTTTGTACAATCTGTGAAATTATATTCCTAGTAGGTTGTCCTTGAAAATCTAATGTGGTCCTTGAAAAGTCCTTGAAAAATGGTTGCAATTTTTTGTATGAACCCTGTTCCAGGAAGGCCGTTTTCTCCCAACAACTCCCTACCAGGTAGAAATTTCATTCAAGTTTCATATAACATACTTTTTGTTTGTTTTGGCCATGAAGACCCTCTCTCCTTACAACTTTTAAGGATCCTAGAATCAAACAATGCAAATATCCCTTATGCACAACTGTCTTACAATATAGATTTTAAGGCTCAGGAAGGGAAAATTGGCAAAAAATATACTTCCAGCCCTTCACACATAATTGAACTGTCTATCCCCTACTGCACAGAGAGAAATAACTGGCGATGTAATTTGACTTATCTGTGCAAATTAAGTTTGCTGTCATTAAGTTTCACAATCCCCCATAAAAAACCATGCAGTCTGTCTGGAGGTGTGCTGTTACCACCCCTGAAATCCCCTTAGCAAAAACCTTGCATGCCTCCCTCGAAAACAATAAATTATGATCACAGCAATTGCAGGCATGTGGTATCTTTCTGGTATACTATCGTACTCAAAAAAGACTACTAGTAATAATAATTGATCAGCAAGATTATTGTTTTGGTTATGATATTGTCCTTCTTGGCTGTAGCCCCTCTTAATTAATATCTCCACCTCTCTTGGGCCACCACCTCCCAAAGCAAACGGCCTATTCTCTGTCACATTTTTTCTATTTTATGTGTTTCTTGCCCAATAAAATACAGTTTTAGAGATCCAGTAGAAAGTGCTGTGAGAAAAAGGGTAGTTCTTTAGGATATTTTACTGCCCTTTCCTAATAGTACCACCTGTTCTTTAAGAATTCCTTTTTCATCAACCAGTTAAAAAATTTGATATCTAATTCTCTTAACAAAAGCTCACGCTCTAACATTGAATAACTCTAATATTTCTTTACTCTACGTTCCTTGTAATTCTCTCACGTGCACTAAAAGAAAAATCCTGGATCGGCAAACCTACTAACCTTAACTATGCGACACCATGCCAGTCCATGCCAGAGGA